GGACTAAACCAGGTCTAAACCAGGTCTAAACCAGGACTAAACCAGGACTAAACCAGGACTAAACCAGGACTAAACCGGGTTAATGACTGATTCCTGGAAGTGTTTGTGGCTCTCGGTGTGTTTTGCTCAAAGGCACAAAGCAGCGGTGAAACAGACCAGACTCGAAGCAGAGACCTCAGACCAGACTCGGACTTTTCACAACGACGACACGATTTATTTATAAAACAAAAAAAGAAACTGAACTGAGACCAGGACTGAGACCAGGACTGAGACCAGGACTGAGACTGGGACCAGACCAGACTGAGACTGGGACCAGAATGGGGGAGAGACTGGTTTAGTTTAGGACCGGTTTAGACCTGGTTTAAAGTCCTGGTTTACCTGGTTTAGTCCTGGTTTAGTCCTGGTTTACCTGGTAGACCTGGTTTAGTCCTTGGTTTAGTCCTGGTTTACTGGTTTTCCTGGTTTAGACCTGGTTTAGTCCTGGTTTAGTCCTGGTTTAGACCTGGTTTAGTCCTGGTTTAGACCTGGTTTAGTCCTGGTTTAGTCCTGGTTTAGACCTGGTTTAGTCCCTGGTTTAGACCTGGTTTAGTCCTGGTTTAGACCTGGTTTAGACCTGGTTTAGTTCCTGGTTTAGACCTGGTTTAGTCCTGGTTTAGTCCTGGTTTAGACCTGGTTTAGACCTGGTTTAGTCCCTGGTTTAGACCTGGGTTTAGTCCTGGTTTAGACCTGGTTTAGACCTGGTTTACCTGGTTTAGACCTGGTTTAGACCTGGTTTTAGACCTGGTTTAGTCCTGGTTTAGTCCTGGTTTACCTGGTTTAGACCTGTTTAGTTTAGACCTGGTTTAGTCCTGGTTTAGACCTGGTTTACCTGGTCCTGGTTTAGTCCTGGTTTAGTCCTGGTAGTCCTGGTCCTGGTTTAGTCCTGGTTTAGTCCTGGTTTAGTCCTGGTTTAGACCTGGTTTAGTTTAGACCTGTTTACCTGGACCTGGTTTAGTCCTGGTTTAGTCCTGGTTTTAGTCCTGGTTTTAGTCCTGGTTTAGACCTGGTTTAGTCCTGGTTTAGTCCTGGTTTAGTCCTGTTTAGTCCTGGTTTAGACCTGGTTTAGTCCTGGTTTAGACCTGGTTTAGACCTGGTTTAGTCCTGGTTTAGACCTGGTTTAGTCCTGGTTTAGTCCTGGTTTAGTCGTTTATCAGTTTTTTCCATTTTTTTTTTCAAACACAAAATCAAAAACTCAGACTTTTCTCAGCGACGATGTGATTTATTCATAAAACAAAAACAGAAACAGTGGAAAAAATACACGACTAATCAGAGGCGCTAAACTAAATGATCCGAAATTCACACGTCAGAAAAAAAAAAAATAAAATTAACAAAAAAAACCCAAATCTTCGCACAGATTTCCGGGGTTTCAGGGTTGAGTTTGGAGGCGTCGTCCCGCAGGAGCCGCTGGGCCTCGTCGCTCCGGGTTGGAGTTTAACACTTGGCACAGTCAAGGTCGGCTAAACATTCACCAAAACAAAACTCAAAACTCACCTGGGACTTTTTTTTTTGTTTTTGTTTTTTTTGTCAGACCAGGAAGTTTCGTCTTGAGCTTCGGATTTTTACAGAAACTCGTTTTGAGTCAAGCTCGCGACGATTTGGCAACGTTTTTTTAGAGATTTTAAACAGCGAAAATATGAGGATTTTTTTTTATCATTTTAAAAAGTAGTAAAAGAGTTTAGTTTTGAGATGTTGTTTTTAAAAATGTTTGAACAAATATTTTAAGTTTTTTTTTTTTTTTTTTTTCATTAAATTATAAACTAGAAGAACAGTGTTGATTCCAAAACGTTCTGTTCACGCTCACGTCACAAACCAGGACTAAACCAGGACTAAACCAGGACTAAACCAGGACTAAACCAGGACTAAACCAGAACTAAACCAGGACTAAACCAGAACTAAACCAGAACTAAAACCAGGACTAAAATCAAGAATAAAACTAGATCTAAACCAGGTCTAAACTATGGCTAAACCAGGACTAGACCAGAATTTAACCAGGATTTAACCAGGACTAAACCAGGACTAAACCAGAACTAAACCAGAACTAAACCAGGACTAAACCAGGACTAAACCAGAACTAAACCAGGACTAAACCAGAACTAAAACCAGGACTAAACCAGAACTAAAACCAGGACTAAACCAGTAGTAACATCAGGACTAAAACTTGGTCTAAACCAGGATTTAACCAGGACTAAACCAGGACTAAACCAGGACTAAACCAGAACTAAAACCAGGACTAAAATCAAGAATAAAACTAGGTCTAAACCAGGTCTAAACCAGGACTAAACCTGAACTAAAAGTTGGTCTAAACCAGGACTCAACCAGGACTAAACCAGGACTAGACCAGGTCTAAACCAGGACTAAACTCTAAACCAGGACTAAACCAGACTAAACCCAGGACTAAACCAGGACTCAACCACAGGACTAAAACCAGGACCAGGAAACCAGGACTAACCAGGACTAAACCAGGACTAAAACCAGGACTGGACTACTAAACCAGGACTAAACCAGGACTAAACCAGGACCAGAACAGGACTAGACCAGGACTAAACCAGACTGTGTGGACAGCCTCTCCTCCCATAAAAACTGGGACATTTTCTAATTTTTTCTAGATTTCGTCAGGAGGAAGTCGTCCTCGCGTGTTTCCAAACGTCCTCCTGGTTTGTGACGTCAGCGTGAACAGAATCTGTACACAGAAAAACCTCGTCTGGTCACAGCGACGAGAGTAAAGCAGATTAAATGAGGCTGAAACATTAGCTGCTGATGGATTTCTGTTTCAATAAAACTTCCCACATCACAAAAAACTGACTCTTCTGAGCTTTGAGTCGTGTTCTGACTCTGTTTCCTCGTCAAAAACAAAGCCCGAGTTGTGTTTTGTTTCATTCACACGTTTGAGTTTCTCTTTATTATTCGTCTGTTTACATCTCCAAAGCTCAAAACGCTCTGTTCCACCTTGTGATGTCATGAAGTGGTAGTTTTCACGTTAACAGCTCATTTTACTTTTCTGTTCTGTTCAGGAAAGATCGGAAATTTTGGGACTGAAAAGATCCAAATGATTCGAGTGAAAATGCGTGGACCAGAGTCGTTGTTTTACAAGTCTCAAGTCTTTGACCTCAAGTCCGAGTCAAGTCCCGAGTCAAACACAGGAGAGTCCAAGTCGAGTCTCGAGTCACTGGTCCATAAGTCCAAGTCAAGTCCAAGTCGTCTGCTTTGAGCTTCAAGTCGAAATTTCAAGACTTTAAACCAAAAAAGTACCAAATACAGCTTAGATTTTTGCAATTTATAAGAATTTTGGATATGAAAATGAGGATTTGATAGAGTAAATAAGAGTTTATTTAGTAAATTTTTCTTTTTAAATGTCTTGACAAGATCTTAGTGTGAATCATTTTGCTCAGAACAGAAAGAAGTTAGATTTAAAAGAGCTTCTCAAGTCACAGGCCTCAAGTCCGAGTCGAGTCCCAAGTCACTGACCTTCAAGTCCAGGTCGAGTCCCAAGTCTTAGTCCATTTTATCAAGTCCTGAAAATAGTGACTCAAGTCTGACCCGAGTCCAGGTCTGGATTTGCATGTCTCCAGCTCTGGTGTGGGGTTTAAAAACTCTGTCTTACCGTATGACATCACAAGGTGGAACAGAGTGTTTTCAGTTTGAGAGAAGAATTCAGCGTAAATTTGCAGGTTTGTGTGTTAATCCATGAATCATTACTTTTTCAAAATAAAAACCAAAAATAAGAAAATGAAAAAACAACAATTTTCTTCATTATTTGTCTCCAAAACCAAAATGAACAAAACAGAAAACAGACGTTTCCTGTTTACGTGACTTAAACTGCGATGCCGAACTGAACCAGGACTAAACCAGGACTAAACCAGGACTAAACCAGGACTAAACCAGGACTAAACCAGGACTAAACCAGGACTAAACCAGGACTGAAAGCTGGGACGGGCCCAGAGGTGCACCCACGTAGATTCAATCCTTGTTTCAGTCCTGGTTCAGTCTTGGTTCAGTCCTGGTTTAGTCCTGGTTTAGTCCTGGTTTAGTCCTGGTTTAGTCCTGGTTCAGTCCTGGTTCAGTCCTGGTTTAGTCCTGGTTTAGTCTTGGTTTAGTCCTGGTTCAGTCTTGGTTCAGTCCTGGTTTAGTCTTGGTTCAGTCCTGGTTCAGTCCTGGTTCAGTCCTGGTTTAGTCCTGGTTTAGTCCTGGTTTAGTCCTGGTTCAGTCCATTCTCTGTTTTTTCCATTTTTCATTTAAACACAAAATCGAAAACTGAAAAAACGAATCATTTTCTGTTTTTTTTCATTTTGGTTTTGGAGACAAATAATGAACAAAATAGTTTTTTTTTTTCATTTTCGTATTTTTGGTTTTATTTTGAAAAACAAATAAACAAACGACACGCAGATTTGTGTTAAACAAATGAAACAAAACCCGACTTCAGGTTTGTTTGTGACGAGGAAACGACGTCAGAACAAATCAGAAAACAGCGTCAGTGTTGGAGCTTTAACTTGAATTCTTTTTGTCACGTTTCAGTCCAGGTTTGGAAAGAGTTTTGTTTATTTTTCATCGATAAAAGTTTCAACAAATTGATTCCAAACTCGTCGTAAACAAACGCCAAAGTTTCGGTCGTCGGGGCTCAAATCTGAAACGTGGAAAAGTGCACTCAACTACAAAAAGGAGAGACGTTTCTGTGGTTTCTGTGCCGTTCGCGTTCGCCCCGCAGCCAGAAGGTCCCAGGTTCAAATCTCAGTCCAGGTCATTGTCCCTGTGCCCCTTGGCAAGACACTAGAGCCCGGAGTCGCCGCGGTGTGGCCGTTCACGTCGACGAGTTCGCTGGAGAAATACCTGAAAACTGGAGCCGCCAAATGGTAAAAAAAAAAAACGTTCGGCGCTCAGTCTCTGCACCTGTCTGTCCTGTCTGTGCACCTGTCCTGTCTGTGCACCTGTCCTGTCTGTGCACCTGTCCTGTCTGGTCCCGCCCCTCAGAGCAGCGCGTCCATCCTCACCCCGTCCGTCAGAGCCCCCCCGAGGTCGAACAGCTGCTCCAGAGTGACCGAGGAGACGCTGAGGAACCCCGCCTGCCTCGGCTCCTCCTCCTCCGACCACGGCTCCTCCAGGAACGCCGTCGCCAGGAACGTCTCCTCGTCCAGGTCCCCGCCGCGCCGCGCCTCCGCCAGCGCGTGCAGGTCGCCGGGCTCCACCACCTCCACCTCGATGGGGCAGATGTGCGTCCCCCTCACGTTGAGCTCCTCGTCGCCGGCGGGGCTCAGCGGCTCGCTCCCCTCCTCCAGGCTCAGCTCGCCGCTCAGCGCAGAGTCCAGGATGGCGTCCCAGTCGAAGTCGCCCTTGAGCGGACCGAGGTGTCTGGGCTCCTCGGCGGACAGCAGGGGGGAGCTGCAGCGCCTCTGGGCTTTCTTGCCTCGGTTCTTCGCCGCCAGCTTCCTCTTCCGCCGGCCGCGCTCGTCCGGCCACGACCCGAGCATCGTCCCCTCGCCCAGCCGCGGGTCGTAGTTCTGGTCGGCGCCCGTGGCCTCCTCGAACTGTCGGAGCAGCAGGTGGGACTCCGGGCTCAAGCTCAGGTCGGCGGCGTCCGGCGGCGGCGGCGGCGGGAGCGTCAGCCGGAGCCGGTTCTGCAGCGCCGGGTTGATCTGGACCGGGGGAGGGCGGCGTTTCTTGTAGGCGCCGCTCAGGAGGCGCTCGGCGTACTGAGGGTCGATCCTCCAGAAGCCGCCTTTGCCCGGCTCGTCCTTCTGCCGCGGGACTTTGATGAAGCACTTGTTCAGGGACAGATTGTGACGGATCGAGTTCTGCGGAGACACAAAGGGACACGAGGTTATTACGAGAAACTGCTGAAGGAAAGAGTTCGGTTAAATCACAGACTCTGAATCACCGAATCACCGAATACGAAAAGATTTGCTTCCAGACACGTCGTTTCTGTGTCCGCAAGTCTTCCCTCTCCACACAGTTTTGAGCACATTTGTTTACATTTTACAGAAACAAAACTTAAAAGCACATGACTCATTTGCATAAACTGAGCACTCAAAAAAAACAAGAACAGCTCTTTCCTTGTGCGCTGATGCGGTTCAGCTTCTGTCGGACTAAAGGACACGACTGAGCCCCGCGGTTTCAAAACGACTCGATGTCTCGTGATTCCAGATTCTCCTTTAGCCCGGTGAAGTTCTTCCGGTGGCTCTGGGCCGACTGAGCCTGTGCAGTAGAGTCTTTTCTCCCGAGGGACACGAGAATGCACGTGAGCGCACGCACGGAGCGCTGTCTCGTGTATCATGTGATCGCTTTGACCAATCAGAGCGAGAGGAGTCAGAGCTGAGCCGGAGCGAAACATTATAAAGAGTTTTTTAAGACAACTGAAGGATTTTGAGCTGAGAAAAAGTTTATGATCCAAAACTAGGTAAAAATCACCACAAAATCCGACGTTTTTAAAAGTTGTAGGTCCCTGTCAGACGAACACGAGCAGTTTGTGATTACTTTCGCCTCTGGGAGAAAAATTCTTTCTCGACCCGGGTGATTTTTTTTTGCTGAAGTTCCCGTGAGAGTCACTACGACAACTGGAAGCAGCAACACCTCCAGGTATTTTAATAAATCCATGGACATGGTTCAGTGGAATATGAGTGTTCTTTCTGTGACAGAGGGATGTTCTGCTGATGGTGAGTCTGGTCTGTGTAAGTCGTTGTAGCTCCACTGTTTCCCGTTTGTCTCTGGTTTGTTTAAATTGTTTTACCACAACAGCGTCACATGACGATGTCACGAACCCAGAGAATCAGGACGGAGCGAGTCACAGTGACGAGGTCCAATAAGCACCAGGGAATCTGCAGGTTTGACTAACCCAGATTTAAGACTTTTTGAAGACTTTTTTAAGACGACTTAAACCAGGAGAGTCAAACTCATTTTGTTTCAGGGGTCGTATCCAACCGACTTTGATCCCAAAGTTTCTGGATCAGAAAACTCATGTCATATAAACCCCAAAAATAACAATAAGTTCAAATATTTGTGCAGAGAAACACAAATCTATTACACAAATCTTTTTTAATTGATGAACTCTTTCTTTTACAAAATATTATAATATTATGAACAACCTGAAACTTTAAGAAAAATACAATTTCAACACAAAGTTTTAACATGAACTTGTCTGTAAACAGGAATAAATCCATTTTTGTTGTAAAATCCTGCACTCGGCTCCACTTTTCTCATGTTGGACATTTTTCTGATGAGGGTGTCACGGTCAACAGTCAAAACGATCGTCCTTTAAGAGCGTTTGGAAAGAGACAAGTCTTCATTTGTGCTGCTCTGGTGGGAGGGGCCACGTACAGAGACGCTGGAGACGCTGCTGTGATAAACACCACAGAAAATTAACACGATTTTAATAGAAAATATCATTAAAATATTTTAGTAGAAAATCAGCTGAGGGTCAGATTAAAGGTCTTGGAGGGCCGGATCTGGCCCCCGGGCCGTATGTTTGACACCCCTGGTCAAGTGTTTTCTGATTCCTGATCTAGTCACTGGAGAGAAATGAAAGTGAACAGAGACACTAGGGGGCGCCAGACTGACTAGGAGAATATCCTTAGACACACAAATGTAACACGAACACAACAGAGTGTCTTGCTCAAGGACACAGCAGTAGTTTGCACTGGCGTTTCTCACTTTCCTTGGGAGTTTGTGAGCGGGGAATAGAGTCTAGAGGAGATGAGAGGCTGGAGAGGCTGGTGTTGTGCTGCTGTGGGCTGTGTGGGGTCAGGACGAGGAGGACGAGGAGGAGGAGGAGGTGGTGGTTGAATGATTGATGAGGAGTTGCATTGCAGCGCTGCAGGGGGCAGATAATATTTAACTGTTTAAGAATCCAGAGTTTTTGAGGCAGAACCTTCGACTTCCCGCTGAAGAGACGTCGGGTCAGATGTGGCTTTGACGAGAACTCGGCCTAAATGTTCAGAGTTTGTGCGTTAAACGTGTGTGAATGAAACAAAACACAACTCCAGGTCCGTTTGTGACGAGAAAACACAAAAAACACAGATCAGAACAGAGTAAAACAAACTCTTTAAAAGCTCAAATCCAGATTCTTTGTGAAGTCGCTTGCGTCAGTGTTTTTTTTTTCTCTTCAGACCGAGACTCTGCAGAGGTTGAGCGGCTCTTGTGTCGCCGTGTAATAAATAAACGAAACTCTCCATTAACTCCGTCTGAATAAAGGCCGGAGCGCGAGCCTCCGGGTCCCGCTGGTCTCCCACGGCGACGGGGGAAACATTTAGCACTGTCACTGTTAGCGTTAGGAAAGCAGACGTCCCTGTTTACCCGGGACAGTCCCGGGTTTGAGCCAACGGATTCACACAAAACCACTGATTTGTCCAAGTTTCATGCAAGAAATGTCCCAAGCTGCTTCAAAATGACCCAAAAATGTGATTATACTGACTCACGTTAGTCTCTGCAGAACAGTTTTTCTTAAGTTCACACTCATTTCACAATTTTATTATTACCAACGACAACCTGGTCGCCCTAAACTCAGCCCAAAGTGTGGAGTCTTCTGAACTTTAAAGACGCTCCATGTAACTTTTCTAATGTAACGTCACAAGAACAAGACGAGACGCTGATGCTGGAAGTCAAAGTTACGGGTCAACTCACCGGGCGGCGAGCTTAAGGCAAACGGACGTCATTATTGACCCGGGACAGTCCCAGTTTTGAGCCGACGGATTTACACAAAACCACCGATTTGTCCAAGTTTTATACAAGAAATTTAGATTCGGTCGCTTTATTCGTACCCGTAGGTAAATTTGTTTTGCAGATTTGAGGCTGGTCCCACTTTTCACTCATCCACATCATCAATAAACACGTATAAAAAACTCTATTACAAAATACAGTGTTACAGAGCTCCAGCGTCAGTCAGTCAGTGTGAGACAAGACGATGTGGAAGGTTTAGTTTGTCTCGTCAGAATGTTCTCAATGAGATTTTATAATAGAAGTATTTTTTATTATTTAAAGCCGTGAGTAAAGGTCATTATTAGAATTAGACCTGGTGTTTTTCGTCCATGACATTGGTCTATTGTGGAAAACAGTTTAAATCAGGGGTGTCAAACATACGGCCCAGGGGCCAGATCCGGCCCTCCAAGACCTTTAATCTGGCCCTTGGCTGATTTTCGTACTACATAATTTGAATGATATTTTCTATTAAAATTGTGTTAATTTTCTGTGGTGTTTATCACAGCAGCGTCTCCAGCGTCTCTGTACGTGGCCCCTCCCACCAGAGCAGCACAAATGAAGACTTGTCTCTTTCCAAACGCTCTTAAAGGACGATCGTTTTGACTGTTGACCGTGACACCCTCATCAGAAAAATGTCCAACATGAGAAAAGTGGAGCCGAGTGCAGGATTTTACAACAGAAATTTACTTATTCTGTTTACAAACAAGTTCATGTTAAAACATTGTGTTGAAATTGTATTTTTCTTAAAGTTTCAGGTTGTTCATAATATTATAATATTTTGTAAAAGAAAGAGTTCATCAATTAAAAAAGATTTCTGTAATAGATTTGTGTTTCTCTGCACAAATATTTGAACTTATTGTTATTTTTGGGGTTTATATGACATGAGTTTTCTGATCCGGACACTTTGGGATCAAAGTCGGTTTGATACGACCCCGGAACAAAATGAGTTCGTCACCCCTGGTCTAGACGGTTTGCAAGAATCCCGGAAGTGTGAGTTTGAGCACCGGCCAAACAGTGAAGGAGACAAACATTCTGTGTTGGCGACGATTCCCCAGATTCCTGAGGATTTAAAGCCGGAACAAAGAGAATGTTTGATGAATTTTATCAAGAGGAAAGACGTTATTGTTCTTCTTCCTACAGGATTTGGAGCTTTACAAACGTCACGACCAAACAGCAGCGATTGGTTAAATAAAAAAGTACTTGTCTTTCGTCGATCAAACAAATCCTAATGCTGCGAGGTCACACGGTTTCCACAAAGTGAAACCAGCTGATGAATCAGCCTAGTGGATATTTTGCATAGACAGAGAGATTTGTGCAGTTTAAATCACATTAATCTGTGAACATCTAAACTGCACAAATCTCTCTGTCTGTGTTAAAATCTACAACATGAAATCAGTTTTTAATTTCAATTCTAGAATCAGTCTGAGTGAACAAGTTCCTTCTGTTTTCTTCATGATCAGAACATGAGTTGAGTTTGTTGTGTGACTGATGTGGCTCGTTGTTTTCTTTAAGTTTTGTTCTTTCTTCTCTTGATCGTCGTGGATAAATTGTTCATGTTAGAATGTTTATCCTTTGTGGAGTTTGTTGGATGAAGATTTGGTGATGGAGCAGATTTATGAAACTGCTGGAGAAAACGACACACATTTACACACACATTTACACACACATTTACACACACATTTACACACACATTTACACACACATGTGCACAGAAAACCATTAACCAGAAAGTTATGTTTACCGACATCGTGGCACTTTCGGCTGTTATGAAAAAGGTCTGTTGTAATGAAAAGTATCTGACAGGTGCGTTCTGTATAAGACAGGTGTTGTACTGGTCCCTGTCGGGTGCTGTGTGTTTATCAGTGGGTGGTGTTACCTGCCAGGTGGGGTCGGCGTGGTCGTAGTAGTGTGGTGTTGTGTATTTGGGTGGTGATGCCTGTTGGGTGTTGTGTATAAGCGGGCGGAGGGTGGTGTTACCTGCCAGGTGGGGTCGGCGTGGCGGTAGTAGCAGAAGTTGTCGGTGATCCAGGCGTAGATGGAGGACAGGGTGATCTTGCTCTTCTTGCTGGCGTGCATGGCCATGCAGATGAGCGTGGCGTACGAGTACGGCGGCTTCACGTACGGGTTTGTTTTATAGTCCACGTCGTCGGGACAGTGTCCCACCGCCACGATCCCGGGAAGAGGCACCCGGGAGTGGGCGGCGGCCGTGGGCTTGCCTGGGGTCAGGGGGTTCCCCGCGCAGGCCGGGTCTCCCGCCAGAGGAGAGGAGGGCGCGTCCAGGTGGCACCCTGCCGCCACGTGCCCAAACAGAGGCGACTGCTGCCGGCTCGGGCCCAAGATGGAGAACTCCTGCAGCCACTGGAGACTGGTGAGGCTGTCGTCCAGACACAGGCCCCCGCTGTGGGACGGGTCCCCCTGGTCCCTCAGGTCCCTCTGCTCCCTCTGCTCCAGGCGAGCAGCTGTGACCACCAGCTCCTCCTCCAGACACGAATCAGAGCTCAGGGACATAACGGCGACGCTGGAGCGGCCACTGGAACACAGACAGGTGCAGAGACAGGTGTAAAGACAGGTGCAGAGACAGGTGCAGAGACAGGTGTAAAGACAGGTGCAGAAGGTCAGTCTGGAAGTGCTATTTAATTAAATAACAAACACGTGAACAGTGAAGTCACAGATCCAGCTGAGGCAGACGGAACTTTTAAAATCCAAAACTAACTCCTGTGTCTCTGGTATAAACCCGCTCTCACCTGAACACGTCCAGCTCAGGTCCAGACCGTTCGTGTTCCGCGCGCTCTAACCCTTATATCTCCTTTACGCACGGCCCCCAGACACCTTTACGCACCTTTACGCACGGCCCCCCTCACGGCGCGCGCTGCGTAAAGTGCGAAAGTCCATTTGGAAACAGAGCCCCGGGCCCGTCACGTGACCCTGAGGTGTCGGGGCCAGACTGAAACTCCTAAACGTCCATTGTGTTCGCGTTAAGGCCCATTGTTTGCGTAATGCGTCACTCAATCCGTCCGTCCGTCCGAAGTTTCCCGAAGTCAAATCCACTTTTACAACGCGTCTGGGGCCTTCGTGGGTGGGAGCGATTACCGAACAATCCCCGCGAACAATCGGACAAATCACCGCATAATACGTTACAATTTTACAACCTGCTTTTCGCGTTTATGGTTTTATTTGGGGCGGTGAATATGCAAACGCGTCGGGCCCAGCGGGACGTCATTACGCACGGAGCTCGCGACTGAAAAGGGAGAAAAGTTCAGAGTTGTTTGGGAAAAAAAACAAAAAAGTCCCACAAACAAACCCTGCCTCTGATCTGCGTCACTGCGTGCTCGGTTCGTGTCTGGATGAATAAAACATGAGTGGATTAAACGGCGGCATTGTGTTTTTTCCTGACGAACCCGTGAATTAAAGCTGCTCTGTGTAACATTTCTGGCGCAGGCCACGTCGCTTTGCTCGTCTCCATGGAGATGTTGTGGTTTTAGAATGTTCCACAAACGCGTCCGTAAAGGAAAACAGAAGACTTCGAGGAATGTTTGACCAATAAAAACCCGACATGAGATTAATAACAGATATAAAAACGCTTAATGCCACACTGCGGGACATTCACAGTTACATAAAGAAGTAAAATAGGTTAAATAAAGATTAATAAAATAATAAACATCTTAGAAAAAAGGTTTTGTTTTATTAGGCTGTTACTTTGTTAAGGGAAAAGTCCATGTGGTCAAAATGTTTATTCGTCCAGGTTTAGTCCTGGTTTAGTCCTTGTTTAGACCTGGTTTAGTCTTGGTTTAGTCCTGGTTTAGACCTAGTTTAGTCCTGGTTTAATCCCGGTTTAGTCCTTATTTAATCCTGGTTTAGTTCTGGTTCAGTCCTGGTCTAGTCTTGGTTTAGTTCTAATTTAGTCCTGGTCTAGTCTAATTTATTCCTGGTCTAGTCATGGTTTAAGCCTCGTTCAGTCTTGGTTTAGTCCTGGTTTAGTTCTGGTTTAGTCCATATTTAATCCTGGTTTAGTCTTGGTTTAGTCCTGGTTTAGACCTAGTTTAGTCCTCGTTTAATCCCGGTTTAGTCCTTATTTAATCCTGGTTTAGTTCTGGTTTAGTCCTGGTCTAGTCCTTATTTAAACCTGGTTTGGTCCTGGTTCAGTCCTAGTTTAGTCTTGGTTTAGTCCTGGTTTACAGGATGAGTCTGCAGTTATTACTTTACATCGCACCTGTCGCTCTCTGTTCACACTTTACATTTTATTTTATTTTATTTTTTTATTAATAAATCAATTTTTTTCACAAACGTATCACCTAAAAATCTGCGTCTCTGTTATTAAAGCTTTAATTTACGCGTTGGTGAGTGTAAAAAACGATACCAAAAGCACTTTTACGCAGCAGAGACGCGCGCGTTTATCTGTTCCGCTCCAATAAACATCAACAAAAGAAACAAAAAACTAGAATTTATGGAGTTAAAATGAAAATTACGCACGGACCACAGCGACTCCACACCTCCAAAGAACGTTCAAGTTTCTGTGAAGTCCAAATAAACTTCTAATCAACATCCGGGCTCTTCCTTCGGGGTTTATAAAATGTTTATTCGCGGGACCAGGCCTCGGGGAATTGTCCAGAATGGATTGGTTAACGATAGGCCCATTACGCACCTGACGCACGGCTCCGGTTACGTTTTCTGTGTTACGCGCGGTGCTTTTTTAATCATTTATGCGCCCTGCCAAATGCTTTCGGGAAATGTAACCCTTTGGTGTCACGGGGCAAAGTCGAGGGAAGGTTTACAGAGGCCAAAACGACGCGGGGTGGACGCGTAAACGCACCATCCGCACGTTTACGCAAAGACGAGAAGGAATTTTACATTTTTATCCGCAGATTTTGACTCACTAAAAGCTAAAAATGCACAAATCTGACTTTAAACCGATCAAAATAGGTTAAACAAATTGAATAAAAAAAAAAAACGCGCACAGTTTCCAATTATAAAGAGTCTGTGTGAAGGAATTTATGCCTTCCTCGAAAAACCAGGTCTAGTCCCTGGTTTCGTCCTGATTTAGTCCTGGTTTAGTTCTTATTTAATCCTGGTTTAGTTCTGGTTTAGTCCTTGGTTTAGTCCTGGTTTAGTCCTGGCTTAGCCCTTGGTTTTGTCCTGGTTTAGTCCTGGTTTAGTCCCTGGTTTAGTCATGCGCAGTCGACGCTTTCCAATTATAAACTCTGTGCGTAAAGGAATTTGTGCGTATTTTTCCTTAAATTTCTACTATAAAATCTGAGTTTCAGATCTCAGAAAACCCCAAAAAGATTTCTGCGTGTTATATTCTTAAATAAAATTATATCTATGAACAAAAAGTAATAGTTTAACTCATCCCACTCGCTTAAATCCATCCAAAAGCGCACCCGTTACGCACCTGACGCACCAAAGGAATGTGCCAGTTTTACGCGCGATCGTAAATGGCACAAACGCGCTCGGACTTTTACAAAATCCACAGTTTTTTATTTAGATTTCGTATATTTTTATTATCTTTTTTTAAAAAATGTTATTATGATTTCAGAAGATGGACACAGTTTGCAAGAGAAAAAAACGAATAAATGTGTAAAAATAGGCCACAATTTTAAGCGCGTATAAAAAGTGTTTTCGAATGACGATGTTAAGGGAAAAGTCCGTGTGGTCAAAATGTCCAGTCCTGGTCTAGTCCCTGGTCTGGTCTTCATTCAGACCTGGTTCAGTACTGGTTCAGTCCAGGTTTAGTTCTGACTCAAGCCTAGTTCAGTCCTGGTATACTTCTGGTCTAGTCCCTGGTTTATTCCTGGTTTAGTCTTGGTTCAGTTCTAGTTCAGTCCCTGGTTCAGTCCTTGTTTAGTCCTGGTTTAGTCCTGGTTTAGTCATGGTCTAGTCCTGGTTTAGACCTGGTTTAGTCCTGGTTTAGACCTGGTTTAGTCCTGGTTTAGTCCTGTTAGAGCCCTGGTCTAGTTCTGGTTTAGACCTGGTTTAGACTTGGTTTAATCCTGGTGTAGTCCTGATCTAGTCCTGGTGTAGTCCTGGTTTAGACCTGGTTTAGTCCTGGTTTAGACCTGGTTTAGTCCTGGTCTAGTCCTGGTTCAGTCCTTGTTTAATCCTGGTCTAGTCCCTGGTTTATTCCTGGTTTAGTCTTGGTTCAGTTCTAGTTCAGTCCCTGGTTCAGTCCTTGTTTAGTCCTGGTTTAGTCCTGGTTTAGTCCTGGTTCAGTCCTTGTTTAGTCCTGGTTTAGTCCTGGTTCAGTCCTGGTTTAGACCTGGTTTAGTCCTGTTTAGTCCTGGTTAGTCTGGTTTAGTCCTGGTTTAGACCTGGTTTAGTCCTGGTTTAGTCCTGGTTCTAGTCCTGGTTTAGTCCTGGTTAGTCCTGGTTTAGTCCCGGTTAAGACCTGGTTTAGTCCTGGTTTAGTCCTGGTTTCAGTCCTGGTTTAGACCTGGTTTAGTCCTGTCTAGTCCTGGTTAGACCTGGTTTAGTCCTGGTTTAGTCCTGGTTCAGTCCTGGTTTAGACCTGGTTTAGTCCTGGTCTAGTCCTGGTTTAGTCCTGGTTTAGTCCTGGTTTAGACCTGGTTTAGTCCTGGTTTAGTCCTGGTCTAGTCCTGGTTTAGTCCTGGTTTAGTCCTGGTTTAGACCTGGTCTAGTCCTGGTTTAGTCCTGGTTTAGTCCTGGTTTAGTCCTGGTTTAGTCCTGGTCTAGTCCTGGTTTAGTCCTGGTTTAGTCCTGGTTTAGTCCCGGTTAGTCCTGGTTTAGTCCTGGTTAGTCTAGTCCTGGTTTAGTCCTGGTCTAGTCCTGGTTTAGACCTGGTCTAGTCCTGGTTTAGACTGGTTTAGTCCTGGTTTAGACCTGGTTTAGTCCTGGTTTAGAGTCCTGGTTTAGTCCTGGTTTAGACCTGGTTTAGTCCTGGTTTAGACCTGGTTTAGTCCTGGTTTAGACCTGGTTTAGTCTCGGTTTACAGGTGCTTAATGAAGGACGAGAACGTTACAACTGAAAATAACGGTAAGTTTTTTGGTTTTATTTTTATTTCTATTAAATTTCATTTTTCCCCTTTTAAAAAAAAAAAAATTATTTATTTTTTCTCGTCCCGCTGGATTTTCTGGATGATTAAACCTGAGACATTTTGAGTCAATAAAGTTAATTTTAAACTCACCTTTATCCACTTTTCCCGTCGATCCGCTGCAGATGTTGTTGTGGTCCGGTGTGCGCGTTGGTCCGTTTGTCCGTTTGTGCGCGTGCTGTCTGCGCTCGCGCTGCGGACTGTGCGTAAAAGCGTAACGGGACTCGAGTTTAATACAACACCTGAGCACGAGACGGTCCGGGGCGCGCGCGGAGGGAGAGAGGGAGAGAGGGAGGGGAGGGGCGGAGGGGGGCGCTGCCATGGAGACGACGCAAACAGCTTAAACCAGGACTGTGCAGGACTAAACCCTCGGCGACTACACCATAAAACCAGGACTAAACCAGCAAACCAGGGCTAAACCAGAACTTTATAAACCACTGCCCCGGGTTCTCAACGACTAAAC